TAAATAGCTTAAGTCACATAACATTATACATTTTTATATATTAATATCTCAGCCATGTTCAGCTAACAATACAGAAGTTGCAGTGATGTGGTGCACATGCACTCATGTTACCAGATCCAAGAATATAAAACTGGCCTTTACAAAGTGACCTGTCTTGGCTGTGTTTTGGTGGATTAGAATTTTGTAAATACAGTCACATTTCAGTTATAATACATTATATATGTATATACATTATTACTATTTACAAATAAGTTCTTAAATATATTTTTTTTAAAATATAGAACAGTAAATAAAGAAGTAAAGCAAAATTATCTCTTCCAGTTACAAACTTTGTACTTGTTTGCTGCTTGCTGTAAGTTGCTAAGCCTTATCAAATTTCATACATGGAGGATGTGTCACAAAATAATTTTTTTAGGTTTTATATATATATATATGGTCATTTTGAAATAACCAAAAATCATAAATTACTATGTCAATACTATATCTTGAAGAGGGAAAGAAAGACGATGATGGCATCTAATTGGTGTTCATGAAATCCTGAAATTCTATAGGTACACCCACAGAAGCCTCAGCATAAATGGCTCGAATAAGTTGGTCGATAAAAGCCAACCATACAGTTTTAGGAACCTCCTGCATGCCAGAGGAAAAATTCTGAAATGAGTCTTCAAACGAAGTAAAAAGATTTCTGTCATTGGCAGAAGTATTAGAAGAAGAATTGAGTGAAGTAGTAACTGTAGTATTAGCTTTAAAAATAACATGAATTTTAGATTTCTTCACATTGAAAAATTGTACATGATATGAACAGCACAACTATTTAACAAGAAAGTTTGAATTATGGCAATAAAGCAGAGCTTATGTAAGATTTCGTGACTCATGCACATAAATCACATGGAAGGTAGGTAGGAGAGTAAAGAATGATGGGTAAATGAAGCATGTTCTGCAGTGCATAAAGGACATTCTGAATTTTGAGTTTCGTGTTTGTTGACAGAATGAGAGCAAACTTAAAGAAGGAAAATCGTACAGTAATTCAGATACTAGGCTACCTGATTTGAATCCGTGTTATACCGTCATTTGATCATCATCATAATATGCATTAGAGTTTTTGCACAAGACTGAAACAGTTGTTTAATTGTAGCAATTCCTTTTTCCATTTTTGTTCATCGAAGATATAAATTTGTGATACCTTTTACTTCTAAGTTCATTGTTAGTTCTTGATGTGACTTCTCATTTTGTCTTGACGTGATTTTTGACTTTGGTTAAAAAATTAATAAATTTGCAATATTGCAATAAAAATTCCTGTCTGATGTGTATATACATGTATTTAAGAATAGAAAATGTTCACCATCACACACACACACACACACGTACTTGATGAGGTAGTGTAAAAGAAAATCTATGCAATATATTGTGTGTGTGTGTGTCATGCTTTTAGCTTTTACATAGTTTATACAATATTTTTCATTGCTTGCACCTTGCTTTTATTTCTTTCTCTTTCCATAAAACTAGGACTTAGATATTCCCATTTACCTCCTGAAAAATGTGTGTTTCTTCTGTGAGAAGGGTGGATTGAACCAGTTGACAAATTGCTTTTTGACTATGGGTCCAGATGTACTACCAATGGTTTTAGCACATGCTATGATTGGATGTACATCTAATGTAAGTAGTATATTAAATGTAATATTTGGGGAGAGGGTGCTTTCTTAGTGAAGTACCCCCTACTTTTCAAACCTTCATGAAACAAATGAGTTTTTCCTATCATTATATATGTATTTGTATACATTAAAGATTTTCACATTAAATGAAGCCTTGTGTACTGTCTAGAATATTTATAGTATAAGCTGAGTCATACATCCAGGGGAATAAGGATTGAATGTAGAGCTTGAAGTAATAAATTGAATCAAGAATTTTTATTTATGTGCGTAATGTATTTCACACATAATTTACTTTGCAACTATTTTATTTCACACCTACTTTATTCCACATTATGGAAATGGTGTTACAGTTACTTTACTGCTTTTACTAATCCCTCTCTACAGTCTCAGTGTTTGTTTAAACACATGGTTGATTCTTGATAAACCACTCTAGAAGTTCTTCCTCCTTCCTAGGTCAAAATAAATATTTCTTGGTGATCCTACTCTTGAACACCCAATACAGAATTGACCATGTCAAAAGTAAGGGGTTTTCAGATGTATTCTTTGTGCTTTGGTTGTCATTTTTCCTGGCAAGAATGTGAATGTTTGAAATTTTTAATGACAGAACTCAAAATTTTTTAAGAAAGACTATAAAAAAACATTTCAAGAAAAAACTTAAAAATTTTAGGAATAAAAATTGGTCCAATTATTAGCTAAACAAGCATATTTTTGCTGTGGGCATGGCCCAAGGTGGATGGGACCAGGTAATAACCACCCTATAATATGCTCCTATCGTATCGTCCTGCCAAGTTTGGTTCAAATACCACAGAGTAGTTTGTAGACAAATACATTTTTTACTTTTATAATTCTAAATATTGTTTTTACACTTTGCAGGTAAGAGAAGGATTGTTCTAGTATTTCAATATCATAATTTGTTTCATTTTTATGATTTAAATGAAAAGACATTATGTTATTTAAATATAGTACATATTGCATTAATAGCCATTTCCAGTTTGCTTTTTAAAAGTCTTTATGAAATTGCTAATGTAACAAGGGAACTCCACCCTAGGTTGTTTGATCAAACAGTTGTTTAATGCTTAGAGACAGGTGAAAAATACCTAGCAGCAGATTAATTAAACAACAACATAAGTTAAACAAACTGAAAAAGTCAATAAAAAACAGCTAGATAGCTGAGATATAAATGTCAAACCTAACTAATGGACTTCAGAACTATGAATAGGTTTAGGTTTACCAAGCAATTCTACCAGTCTGTTAGCTGTAAAAGTTTCTTCACTTACAAAAGCTCCAACTCTTTTAACTTAAAACCTTTTGTAAAATTTTTCCTTCAATGAAATCTGAGCATTAATTGGGAAGTGTATTAAGCTTATGGCATCATTTTTCCTGACAAACAATTTATGTTGAGGTTAAGTAGCCAACTGTAGAGAATGATGAAGTAAGGTCAAAGCACTTATTCAGTGGAAAAACAAAACAAAAACATAAATTATATGGAAGATATTAAAAAAATAGATTTAAAACAAAAATTACAGTAACTGAAAAGAAAATGTTATTACTTATATACAGTTGTTACCAACATAATCTTTAGACTATTCAACAGTTGAAGTAGGTTTACACCAAATGTAAAACTGATAGACAGTAGACAAGCTTAAGTTAGAAGAGCTGTATTCACAGCAAGCTAATTGCTTTGGTTACCTGGAATGATCCTTTGTTACAGCAGCATTATAAGGTTACACGAGTAAATGCTTACAGACCATTAAAACATTGTTAATCAGTAAAGGGTAAAATAAAATATGTGCAGCAGTAATGAATAATTATAAGGTATGATGGGTAACCTGAAAACCCTTTACAAACATATTAGTTTAATAGTTTTTTGAATAACAAGAAGCTTCTCAGGTAAAATCAATACTTAAAATATGTAAACAGTTAGGTTTGAAGTGTTCCCTTATTTTCTATCTTCATTTGTTAGATGACTAAGATTAGACTGATATTTGTGTAAATATATTACATCAGAAAGTATCAGATCTTTTCTATGTGTTTAATTATAAATATTAAATACTATTCCAGCTGAAACTATGGATGAACATAGGCTCTATCGTGAAACTTTTGGTTCCACTTCGAACTTGTGTAATTAGGTAAGGTTTAATTGTGTAGTTTATGTATCATATGAAATTAGAAATTATTCTTGTATTATATGTTGTCACCTTTTATTAATCTTTTGTAATAACCTAAGTAACTCTGTACTGTTTTGTTTTAAAATAGATTTTCATGTATCTAGTTATATATACAGCAGAATGCAGAAAAATAAGAACTTTATATGCCACATTGGCTTGCTGTTTCATTTTCCACTTGGACAGACAGATATCTCTCTGAAGAACAGACTTCTCTAGATAAAAAATCTGTTACGTTTTCAGTGAGAAGCAAACATATGTTCCTTTTTCAAGTTTTCCTGTTTTAAAGATTCTGAAGAAGTCTTTCTTTATTGTGAGAAGTTTATCTTTAAAGTTTCTAGTTGGTATCTTAGCAATTATTAAGTAATACCATAAATAAAGTGGGACATTATACCTTAATGGGATTATATAAATTAACTTGAAAATTGCATATTGAAACATTTGAAAGCAATTTTTTTTCTCAGCACTAAAAATTATTGTGTGCATGTTTCATCAAAACTTGCTAAAGTTTGGAGTATAAATACAAAACCTGAAGCCATGGTGTGATACACTGTGATAACACGTGACTCAAGGTGCCTTAAATAGGAATTCTTGTCAATATTTAATAGTTTTATATACGTTGTTTGCACTAGGAACAGCATTACAAGTTTTTAATTTTCTGTGAATTGTCATATAGATTTTAAAGCAACTTATGAGAAGTGATTAGCCACCCATCATTACAATCTGGGACAATAGGAACATTAATTATTTAAACATTAACCCATCACTCCATCTTGGAGTAATGGAAAATAATTATTTGAAATTACCCATTATATTACCTGGGAACAATAAATACAAGAATTACATAATTAGTGAAATTTTTCTATACATTATTTTGTATGTGGTTCTGTGAACATTTTATTTTTTCTAATTTTCATTTTGTCACAAAAGAAGAAGGTTTCAATTTGTTTCAGAAGGGTATATATGTGTATAATATCCCTAATTTTTAACTGATAAACTAGAGGGATGGCAGCTAGTGAACAGCACTCACTTTCAAAACATGGATTACTCTGACTGAGTAGTGGGACTTCACTGTCACTTTTATAGTCCACACATATCCCCAAAGTGCAAAGCACATTTTTGGGGTAAGAGTCCAAATACCATGAACCTTCAGATTCACAGTGTTCATGCTAACCACTATGCCATGCTCAGCCCAAAAATGGAAGGTAACAGCTTAACTGATAGAAATAATTTTTTCAGTTTGCTACCTGGAGATGCTGGCAGCTGTACATTTATATGCTGGAAATCCTTGAGTATGATAAATGGTTCATTTATGTTTTCTGGTTTAGTTCGACATAAGTTTTTGAATGTGTGTGTGTTTAATTTCCTCAAAATACAACAAGACTGTAATGTTCTGTAATACAATTTTACACAAAACAACATATTTTAAAACAACATTACCTCCCTTAGAATACGAGTGATTAACCAGTAAAAAACACAAGTGGACAAAAACGTTATCTTATGTCCATCTTACCATTTTAACAGCTTTTGGATGTAGCTTTCTTTGTTTTATATCCAACTCTTTTAGCATGGGCTCGGTTCCTGGGACCATCCTCGTAACCATTTTGTGCTTGTTAGAGTTTTCATGCTACAACTTTTCAAGTGTTTTTAATCTTAAAATGAAAATTACTTTGCATGTTGGATAGTCAATTATATACATCAGAACATTTTCAAATTTCACATACAAAAACTTTATAACCTCCAGATAATTATAAAATGTTTTTTTAGAAAAAACGTTATATTTTATCTGTTATTTTCACTACTCTATCTCTGTACAGGTTGGGTTGATTTGACTAACCTCGTAACCACCATAAAAAATTAAGGAAATAAATATAAATTATGCTTTTGTTGTTCTAGAATGACTACAAATTGTAACACAAAAACACACATGTTTAGTCTAAATAGCTTAAATCACATAACATTATACATTTTTATATATTAATATCTCAGCCATGTTTAGCTAACAATACAGAAGATGCAGTGATGCGGTGCACATGCACTCGTGTTACCAGATCCAAGAATATAAAACTGGGTTTTACAAAGTTACCTGTCTTGGCTGTGTTTTGGTGGACTAGTATTTTGTAAATACAGTCACATTTCAGTTATAATACGTTATATATGTATATACATTATTACTATTTACAAATAAGTTCATAATCTTATTTTTATTTAAAACAATACAGTAAATAAAGAAGGAAAGCAAACAATTATCTTATCTAGTTACGACCTTTGTACTCGTTTGCTGCTTGTCCTTGTCATAGGTTGCTAGCCTTATAAAATTTCACATGTGGAGGATGTGAAATGAAATACTTTTTTTTAGGTTTTAGATATACTGTTGAATAACCAAAAAATCATAAATTACTATATTGATACCATACAATTCCATTATAATTTATGAAGCTTAGTAACAGCTGTATTTGGGTCTAAAAAAACATGTAATTTAGAGCAGACTAAGGACTCAACTTACCAGCTTGAAGTTTTGTATTGAAAGAACAAGATGATGTCATAATACTTGTAAAATGGCTGAGAAAGCCACTAGGGGACATTCTGAGCTTTAGATTGGTTATTCACATGTCATAGACAGAAGTAAGTGTATATAAGGGAGTGTTTCCAAAAATGGAAAGAGGTGAGCAGGGCCACTGTGTTTGATTCAGTACATGAGCAATATCTCAGAAAATAGAAAAGATAGGGGGGTTCTTATTTATTATTCGAGCTTGTCAATATTTGTAATTTGAGTTCCTAATTCATATGAAACTATAGACTTTGTATTTTGACATCACAAACATCTAATTTGAACCAGTGATGCATTCAACATTCCATGTGACACATAAAAATCGATGTTTGGGTGTTTTTTTAAATATTTATATTTAAATTATAAAATTAAATAATGTATAATACTAAAATGTGAATTATAATCTATAGTTTGATACCAAACTTATTGATATAAATTCATAAAATAGTAGTTCAATAAAATTTTGAATGCAAATCACCAAACACGATGACATGGCCTGTGACCTGTGTGAAGAGGGTAAAGACAGTTTTTTTATTCTTGTCTTTATGCACTCTTTTTGAGAATATCATGTTTCATAATACCTATACTTCCTGTATGGATAATATAAACATTTTTTTACCATGAGTGCTTGTTTTGGATTGTTTTTTTCTGTGTTTTGAAAACATCTGTGTACTTTTTGTTATTGTCATCTTTCAGAAATCTATTATTTTATTCTTTTACATACCATTTTAGAACCCTGCTTGTTGTAGATAATTGTAAGAGTGAAAGAACCCTGCATCACTTTTTATTGTAGGTACTTGTGTAAGGTGTCCGACAAAGACTTGAGAGTTGCTGGAAACAGGAACATGTTTGAGTTTATGTGGACAGCAGTGAAAGACCCTTTAGATGCTCCAGCTTCATTTGACAAGGAAGGGTTGGATTTAGCCTTCAAGTACTTTACAAGTAGTACTTTGACTATGAGACTGGCTGGGATTGCTCAAATAAATGTGAGTATACTTATTCAGAAATCAAAGGTGTTTAGCACTTCTCATTATTATACTAGTTTACACTGCCAAGCAAAGCATGTTCCTGGAAATTAAACACTTCAGCACTATTTAGTTGATTGGCCACTCAATAAAAAATGTAAATAAGAAAGAAATATGGATTTTTAGTGACATGTGGAAAAGTTTATGATTTTTGCTTGTTTTTTGCATAAAGCAACTATTTATTAAGTTAAACATAGAAAATGTCTATGTTTAACATCTATTCAGTTTAACATCTTGAAAGAGCACCCAAAACATGGCCTGCAATACTTGTTGTCATTTTATTTGCTGTTGATATTGTCACTTTGAGGGTATTATATACAGCAGTATTTGAATACCTATGAAGAAATAAATAATTAAGACAGAGCAGGATTCAAACCCATAATTCTGCTAATCAGACATATACTTCAGCCATCAAACTAAGCAGTAGCTTAATTGACTCAATCATCTGCACAATTAGCAGAGTTGGAAGTTTATCTCCTGCCTAACCTTGATAGTCAGTTCTTCAGAAAAAAGTCAAACTTCACAGTATGTTATGTTGTTTTGAAAATTTCTATAGTTAATCAGATCAGTTTATATATTTGTCTCATCAGCATATGCACAGATGATAGGCTAAAGAATCATTCAAACTTTGCTTTACAAAATATCAGCTATTTTGGTAAGTAGGCTTAGAAAGTATTATTTCACAGAACTATTAATCATGTTAAAAGTGTTCAAAATTTTTATATTATGAAAAAGGAAGCATGCTATAAACATTTAGGTAGCAGCTTGTTACACATTTTCCTTTATCATAATTGTGGTATTGGAATTATTTAAGTGACATAGAAGAACAACAGTACATGGAAAAGTAGTAACACAAAATAAAGGATGTATTTTACATTGGTCTTGAGAGAAACTATCTTATTACTTTTCATTATGATATGTACAGAAATGTTCTTTTCATTGTACTGCACTGCTGCTAATTACTTATTCCAACACAAAGGGTGAAGTTGCAGCCTTCAAAGTAGATACTATCTGTTAAGAGAACAACAAACCCACAAAAGCAACTAGAATAAAACAATTTCAGTGGTTTTTTGGACCATGTGTTTATGCTAAAACAGCATAGAAACAGACTAAACAAAAAAACTTGGAAAATTCCTATATTAATAAAATGGTGGAAAACACAGGAAATGCTTAGCTACATTTCACACACGTGCTACCTTGGATTAAAAAATAAATAAAAAACAAGGAGCACAAGATCTATGTATACACAATAATGACATGTTATCACAAAGCTATCAGTACATGAAAATTAGAATTACAGGAAAATAAGAATGTAGAATAAACAAAAACTAGAAAAACTCAAATCAGTCATAATAAAAAAGTTAGTAGCTTTAAAATCCCTTGCTAGCTGAATAGACAGTATCTATAGGTTACAGACTTTGTATATTGTACAAGAACAACTAGTCATGTGATAATGCATGTTTAACCTTGCTAGAATCGAGGTTTCCTGTTTCTGTAAGGAGTGTTTGTTCAGTCAGTTCTACTTGGTTTTCAGTGTGACGAGTTGATCCATTCATTGATCCCGTAGTAGGCAATCTTCCCTGTGGGTACAGTAATATTTGCACTGTTTTTTTGTGTATAACAAATAATGTTTTCATGCATGTTTAGTCTAGTTATTTCTCACATAGCTTAAAACTCAGTTATTAGTCAAGTTCAGATTACTTTGCAAATTCCTGCACAATCTTTCTGTTATTGTGTGGACCTATCAAATACTTGTGCAGAAATCAGTTTACCTGATAATACCACACATGTTCTATCTAATTGTACATATAAATAAGAATGATTTAAGTTTTTATTGGTATTTCTGTGAACATCTTAAGTAAATTTCATATTTTAAAATCTGTTTTAATTACTAAAACCTCATTCTAGAAGCTTAGTTGATGAGAAAAATAAAATAATCAAGTTTAATAGTTTCTTGTACAATATATATTTATGTATGAATTTAGCAAGAAAAAATGAATTATTTCATATATTTGTATTTCACTTGATTAGTGTTTCTAAACCACCCATTTGTGAACCAGCAACGGCCCAGCATAACATATGTATCCTCCGTGAGATTTCACACAACAAAATTGACACAATATTCATGTGCAAATCATAATGGTTTTTTATTGTACTTGCATTTTAGTTGTCTGTGACAGTTTAGGTAAGCATTGAGCTGGTTCCTGGTATAAAAAAAATGCTATACTAGCCTATTTAGCTAAGTTGTAGGATGCATGTTAAACTTGATTCTAAGCTCATTTCTTTTGTGCATCCTTCCATTCCTGTACTTGCTTTGTTCTTTCACAAAGTAGATTTTTTTGTTTAATGTGTTTAGTCAAATTTATTTATCTAAGATACCATACTTACATACTCAAAATTAATGTTTTATTTTTCAGAAATAAGTTTATAAGTATTTTTTGACAATTTTTCTTGCAGAGTCATATCAACATGTACAATGATCTGTGCCATAATGAAAGTCTAGTGGATGCTGAAAGTGTGGGCAATGCTCTATCAAACTGGCTCATTGACAACAAAGTCATACCACACATTTTTGGACCTAATCTTCATGTAGAGGTATTTAAGTCATTAAAAATTAGGTTTTTAAGATCACCGTAGAATTTTTTATTTAACTTAATTGGAAAACAAATTCACTTTTTTTTACCACAATTTATTTTACATAAAATTGCTATTTTGTAGACTATTATATGTTACTCTAAGTGTGTTTCACTTGGTTTCCTAAATATTTGTAATACTGTTGCCAGATGACTTAAATGATGAGAGTGTGATGAATGTAAGTATGTGAATTGTTCTTAAACATGTAAAATTATTGGTGTTCTTTAATAAACAAAGTTAAGGGAATAATATCGGCTATTTACTCCTTCACTTCATGATAGCTTTCAGGTGCATGCTTGCAGAGGTCGTGAAAATTTTGGACATTTGACAAAATTTTAATATTTTCAGAGTGCTTTTTCACGGTTTTGCAACTTTCTCTCTCAGTTATATAGATGTATAGTATGACATATTCATAAAGTTATTGTATGTTCCATAGCCAAGCTAAGTTTGGAGCCACAAAAAATTGTAACACAGTACATCCAGATGCCCTATGCAATTTGCTTATCTAGATAAATAACCTTCCCAAAATGAAGGTACTAACTATTGGAAAACATAACACCTTTTTTGGGGGGTTATTTGTTTTACATGTACATATCTTAACCTCTCTTTTTAGGAAGTAATTATTTGAAGGAGTTAAATTAGTTTGTGGCAGAATTTTACTTTCTAAACTTTGTTTACTAAAAATAATGGTAAAACATTGTATCTTTAGTTTCCTACTGGTGTTCCATGTGGTGCATATGTGCTGTGTAAAGCTGTCTACTGCCTGATCCTTATTTAGTTATATTTTGATTGATTGATCAACATAGTCTGTGATACAAACAGGAAAAAATTATTTTCCAAATTTCTTAGTTATTAATAGTAAAAAGAAATTGATTCTTTTTAAAGTTTATGTAAATATTCATTTCATGAATAAAAAGGTTATTTGTTTCATATACACATATAATTTTTTCTCTGTGTCTTACAAGAAACCTAATTCTATTTTTCATATTGGTAAGATGTGGAACTGTTATTATTTAAAATTAACAATTATTTTGCTTTTGTTACTGTAGATTATCAAACAGAGCCATATAGTACTTAACTTCTTAGCTATGGAGGGAAGAATTACAAATGAAGAGATTGATGTGATATGGTCTGCTGCTCAGTTGAAACACTGTAGTCGTCAGGTTTTGGAGTTATTGCCACCACTCATTAAGAACTTAGAGGTGTCACCAGTTTTACATTTATACAAACTGATTTGTAACCTTGAACCCAGGGAGCATAATGAGCAAGTATGTAACTACATTATTGTAATGTTTTAGAAGTAGATTATAATCTTCTCATGTTCATCAGGCCCGGCATGGCCAGGTGGTTAGGGCACTCAACTCGCAATCTGCAGGTCGCGGGTTTGAATCCCTGTCACACCAAACATGCAAGCCCTTTCAGCTCTGGGGGTGTTATAATGTGAAAGTCAATCCCACTATTTGTTGGTAAAAGAGTAGCCCAAGAGTTGGCGGTAGGTGGTGATGACTAGCTGCCTTCCCTCTAGTCTTACACTGCTAAATTAGGGATGACTAGTGCAGGAAGCCCTTGTGTAGCTTTGCACAAAATCCATAACAAACAAACAAACTCATGTTCATCATTATTTGCATTTATCATGATTTCCTAAAAAAACATTATCATTATTTAATAAAATGAAATTTACTTGGAATCAGGCCTTTTCATAACAAAATTTTTAACTGGAATTATTTGTGATTCTATATGTATTGAATTAACTTTGTTTTCTAGACACTTCTCCTGGCCTCTGCTTTACTGAAATGTATTTGGTCTAGTAGTGGAAGTTTCCAAGGAACTGATTCTCATATTGATACACAACACACAAACAGTCCTTTTGCCATGCTTATGAAAGGAGCACTTCACTTGGGTGAGCTACAGAAAGGTGAGACAACATTTGCTTCAAAGTTTTAAACTTTTTTTGGTATGGAACAGATTTTAAATAGCTTTACAATTCATTTTTAAATCTTTCAGCCATACACTAAAAGTGTTGTGGAAAAGTTTGGAACACCAAACCTGTTTAATGTAAGAATAATAATAATAAAGAAATTGAATGGTAGTTTTGTGAAGTCTTAAGGTATGACAAAATAGTCATCCTTTTCAATTTGGTGTAGCTTGGCTTTAATTGTTTATTATATATGTATATTTTTCTCCTGTTCTGCTCTCAGCCATATTGATAACTTTTGGTTAACTCTTTTTCAGGATACAAACTTCTAAAGGCATGTGTATTTGAAATATAGAAACTTAGAAGTAGATGAACTGTGGATTTTCTTAATATCTCTGAAAGATAAACTTAATGTGTTGACTATGAATATTTTTGTTATTTTTACCTATAAACTTTATAACCAAGTTACAAAAGTCATATTTTTAGATGAGTTTTAGCTCATTCTAGCTGTATTAAAATATGAAATTGTAAAAACAGCATCAAAGCCTTGTGGGAAAGAGGAAACTATTTTAAGAGAAATTGAATTTCCCCTTTCATTTAGCCATATAAAAAAGGTTCTGTATACGTCTGTTATCAGTAATGGTTTTCAGGTTTTGTGATGATCAAGTAGTATTTCTAAATCTGAAATAAAGCATTTACCATGAAATTTTGGTAACAGGTATGAACTTGTCCACTCATTACTGCTTCGTGGTTTAGCTCAAGTAAGAAAGGAATAATGAAAAAATGTTTGAATATTTAAAAAACGTGGAAAGTTTTTCTTTATTCAGTGATGTAAGCACTAAGAAAAAAAATATATATATATATCCCCTATATCCCACAACTGCAATATGTACATTAAAATTATTTAATGATTGTGAGTAAATTATATAACTAATGCATAGGTAACTTATCTTTTATATTGCTTAAGGTGTTATTTTTTAGTATTTTAGAATAAAAAAAGTTATATACATTTACTAAGAAGTAAAAAGCAATAATATATTTAGCAATTATTAGATGTATTCCGAAAATTTAACAGTTGTTTATCATAAACAGGTAAATTATTGCATATGTATGAAATAGAAAGTAACTTTTGTGTGTGCTTGATTTCCTTTAGTGTTAAAAAACATTTAAACTTATTTAGGTAATTGTAAAATGATAATTATCATGTTATTTTGTCATTGAAATTTAGTAAACTGTAATTTTTCTACTTGATTAAAAATCATTTATATTTTTTTGACATAATGAAGTTATTTATTTGTTCAACAATTATAAGCATTTATTAAATTTTTATTTTATTAAAAGAAAGAAATGAGCAAAAATACTTACTTTTTTGCAGTTACACAGGTTTTAGTTTATGTATAATGTAGCAAAATGAATCAAATATTATTGCAGTTTTGTTGTGTATCATATGCAGGAAATCGTTATTGAGTATGTAGATGAACTTTAAATCATAGTATAGATGACACATGGTGAATAAGTTTTCTAATTTTAGGCTTTGGTAGAAAACGAGAATTAAGTAGCAGTGAAAGAAGCTTAAGTGCTGATGGAAGTAACAGTGAAGAAGATCAGGCTGAAATGAGATGTGCTCCTACCACAGAGGTAACCAATTATTATTTTTGTTTATTATACATGTATAGTTTGCATGTAGTTCTTTCTGTCTGGTTTATGTGTATGTGTTTAAATAACCTGAAGTGTACTTAAGATAATAGTCCTATGATGATTTTCAGCAGGCAGACAGTTCCCAAGTCAGTGACAGGCAGCATAGTAGTGCTGATGGAAGTGACCATACAGCTGACAGCCAACCAAGCAGTCCTAGTGGCCAGGAGGGCTTTAAACAAATTCTTCTTTCGAAGACGAAAAAAAAAAGAGAACACATCACTAGGTCAGCTGAGAAGAAAATGAAGGAAGACACTAGAAGCTCCAGTGGGGATGAGAGTGAGCTGAGTAGTGTCAGTGAAGAGACCTTACGGAGTGACGTTGATGTAGTTGAATCTTCTCATTTATCAAACAAATGTTCTGAACTGCAGGAAGTGAACCAGTCAAGTGTATCAAAGAAAAAATCCACTCAGAGGCAAAAAATGTTACGTCGGAAAAGAGCCAAACAGTTAGCTGCCAAAAGAACCTTGTTAGCAAAGGGACCTTGGTTGAGACGAGAAGAAAAGGACGTCTGTGCTCGACTTACCATTAGAGAAATCGATGGTAGTCCAGATGGGAATGATGAATCAGACCTCAACCAAGAGAAGCCTGTAGCTCCTCCGAAAACTCCAGAACACAACTCATCCCCAATAAATGCTTTGCCGGAGGGTCAGCTTCCTCGACCACCTGGCCCTCAATTACTTCCCGAGCTAGTAAAAGCAGTGTTAGAACGAGAAGGCAGTCTTCCACGTTTTAATGAGGGGTTAGATACAGAGACATATGATTGCAGACAATATCTTTCCAGTCTGCAGCCTCACCATGAAATTGGAGGAACTGGGTAACTGTTACTAGTTTTACTTGAATCTTCTGTGTTCGTTCAACATAAGATAAATTAATTATATGAATTAGTGTGTGTGATATTATTTGGCAGAACATATTTCCAAAAGTGTAAACTGTAGATAAAGCACAAAAAATGTTTGGTTTTGTTACCTAGTCATTCAGTACATTAATAGATACATGAATTTTTTTTTTTTTACTATAGAGTTGGTAGACTCTACATGTAGGGATGGTCAAAGTACTCAATACAGATACGCACACTAAAAAATCTACGATGACAGAGAGTTTTACTTTAATAAAAAATGATTGCTACTCACTTTCATTTGTTTCTCTACCCAACAAGCTCAAACCAGAAAGTGACCAACCCACCAACTTGTTTATCTTTCTTCTTCTTCTTGTTTCAGTTGAGATAACTCTGTAACTATTTTATCACTAATGTTAGTTTAAACTTAAATCCACTCTATGCATTTCTGGCCAGTGCACAATGTCATAGATTAGTCATAATAACTAGTGGTAATTTTAAAAAATACATAATTCTAGTGTAAACAATGTTATCATTACCCCTTGAAGTTAGCTTTTTTTTACAGAAAACTGGTGTTCCTTTAAAAAGCTCAAGAACATATAATAAATGAACATTAGATTGTAACATGTAGAATACTCAATGCTTTGTAAACTATACAGCCAGTGTCTTTAGGGAGCAAACCTCTATTATATGTATGAAATGAAGGAGTAAAATAAAATCAATACACATGATATTAAATTTTATTACACACATTTGAAGAATACACTAATATTAACCTTAAATTTCAATATTGAAAGTCCTGCAGGGATGATCTATGTATAGCTGTATCATCTCTATATTCTAGTGTCCATTCTTTTTGACACTGCAGTCCCTACATCATTTTACATTTACAAAATGTTTTTTATTACTTGTAAATATGTAGGTTGTACATCCTGTGGAATATGTGATTAATTAGTAACATCAGAAACTGGTTTGATAATTGTTTTTGTCTATATTTTCTTCAGTTTGGAAACTGATGTAAAATAACAGTTCATACAAGTTAGGTTTTTTTGTACTTCTGTCTTGTTTATGTTCAGTACTTTATTTCTTGCTATACTCATTTTATCAATTATTAATTTCTTCATTAAGCTATCACCACAAATTTCTTTACAGTTGCAGAAGATACCTAACTATAATTTTAAGCATAACCATCTTTATTGACTCTGGTGTGACATGTTGTTTTTACACATTATTATGTTTTAAAGAATGTTATTACTTTCTTGTGATATATAATATCTACACATAAAGATCCCTTTTAAATATGCTGTAAAGTTGAATTAGAATTCAACATCTAGTTTTTATACTTATTTCATACTTCCTTGTTAACTGTTCATAATAGTTTTGTTTGAGACTTTTATTCAGGTTAAAATTAATTCAAATTTTAACACTCCAATAGGTGTTGCTACTGGTATTTTGAAAAATAACATTTTCTGCTAGTACTCTGTTAATCCACAAAAATGTAATACTGGCTTTTACATTTTCAGAAGTAATTTGATAGAAGATATCCTTAGTCCAAATGATGGCAGCTGTAACAGTTCACATGCTAGTAACAGATCAGAAAAGAACATGGCTGATTTTGAAGGGGAGGAGAGTGCTTGCGAAGATGAATTGGCACAGTTGGCGGCTCAGGCTCAAGCACATTTAGACAGTCATCCTATGCGCTTGATGAACATGGCATGCATGTACACTCCTCAGCTTCTTGGACCCAAAATTCATGGAAATCAGCGAGGAACTCCTAAGGACAGTGATCAGGCTTTACAGCAGTTTGATGTGGACTCTGTGTGTAAACCTGCACAAACCCTACTGTGGGATCTACTTCAAGATGATAAAATTGTTAAGTACATGTTTTCTACTTTAAAATATCGTATGATTGGTATTAATTTTTGTATTCATTAACTTTTTTATATTATGGGACTACATTTTTCTTAACGACCTGTCTTACCAAATATAGTGGTCAATTTGAATCAAAGATCTAGAAGTTTTATAAATACTGATAAACTGATAATAAAACTAATGTCTTTTCATATAGCTTTTGGGTAATGGTTATTTAACTTATTTCAGCAACAATGTATAATTTGTGCTGAAGATGTCCAATGGAAAAACAAAATAGTATTGTGTTATCTGAAACCATTGTAAGAGATGCAGGAGGTTACGTGTCAAGTCTAATACACCCCCCCTTAAACAAATACAAAACAAAAACACACGGATCGGGTAGAGCAACACTTGAAATGTTCGTTATCTAAAACTAAGTATCTTAATAATTTTCTGTCTTTTACTAAAATAATTTTTAAGTATCAAATTTCACAAAATAAGATACATTTTATACATAAAAACCTTTTACTCCCCCTGGAGGCCATCAGTTATACTTTTATTCTGAACTTACATGAAAAGAATTGTCAGATTTTAGAAAGAATGTTGATTATTTACCATTTTTATATTTAAGATATTTTGTGACAGGTTTGCAGATGAGGCTGATAGCATTCAAATATAATTAAAAAAAAGAAATTTTGTTCCTTAAAAACTTAATGACATTTGTACCTTTCAAAATAGACACAGCTTGCAGAGGGACTTGCTGCAGAGGCAGAGAGAATCTTTTGTAACTTGTTGTGCTGGTCCACAGACAAGATGATCAGAATGAAAGTAATTGAAGGGTGTCTAGACAACCTAGCTCATCACAAGTAAGATATTGTTATATGTGGCTGTTGCCAAGTTAACATGACTAACCTATGGTGGGACAGTGTTCAATGTTTTTGTATAGACAGCCTATCTCTTCACAAGAAAGATATTGTTGTATGTGGCTTTTGCCAAGATCACATGACTGACCTGTGGTAGGACACTGTTCAATGTTATTATATGAGCAACCTAGCTCTTCACAAGTAAGATATTATTATTTGTGGCTGTTGCCCAGATAACATGACTGACCTAGGTCTTCACAAGTAAGATATTGTTATATGTGGCTGTTATCGAGATAACATGACTGACTTTTGGTAGTACACCGTTCAAGGTGTTATTTAGACAATTTAGCTCATCACAAATAAACTCTTATGTGTTGTTGAATGGTAATGTTGAGAAGCTAGAAACTAAGCAAATGGTTTATAAAGTTTACGACATTTAAATAGTTGTAGGATATTTACATCGTTTGAGAAACCATATGTAATTTTGGAACTTCAATTTGTGTGAGAGGATGGTCAGCCTATTCTTGTCATTATTTTATGCAACATTTTTTAAGTAATATCCTTTTAATGCATTTTTTTTACTTTCAAGTTTAAGGTTGTTCATTAAGAAAATTGGCAGTTCACAAGTGGAGTAAATTATTCTATATGATATTGTAATGATATCATATCGTAATATGATAACTTTCTGTGCTATCTTATTTTTATACTTATTCAAAAAAAGCTCCCACAATTTGAATCAAGTCTGCATAGTTGTGATTTTATTTACTAGTTAAGCATAAAAGTAATCAATTTTGTTTTATAATCAAACTTAACAAAGGCATAGGTTACATCTAAAAAGTTCATTAATAAATGAACGTATATATATATAGGTCTGTATGTTAAATTCATTATTCCTTTTATTTCTTAGTTTATTTATAAGTCTATGTGTTGAATGTGTTATTTTCTTTTTGGTTTATATTTAAATCTACATGTTGAACATATTTTTATGTTGAGTGCATTTTTATTATTTTCTTAGTTTATATATAGATCTGTATGTAAAATTCATTCTTGTTTTTTTTTAAAATTTATATATAGATCTATATGTAAAGTTCATTCTTGTTGTTTGTCTTGGGTTGTATGTGTAGATCTGTATGTTAAGTTCATTGTTATTGTTTTTCTTAGTTTTTATCTTATACATATCTGTATATTCTTCCTAGATTATATCTGTATGCATAAAGCATTATTTTCATCCAAGTTTATGTTAAGATCTATATGTTGAGTGCATTATTTTCTTCTGTTCTATATTTAGATCTGTCGTCATTTCCTTGAGGCTACTTCCAAAGTTGCTAGGTTCTTTTCAACAGTTTCGTAGTGGAACTGATACCCATTCTGTGACAATGTAAGTTGTTTCATCCATTATCCTTTTATTTTTTTCTAACTAAGCACATTTAGTTAACACAAATTACCTGCACTATATAATTTACTTTTAAACCTTCAGTTACCATGAATGAACTCACCTCTAATGTCTTATTCACACGCCCATATGGAAGAGCTTTTTTAATTCTTTTTTTTTTAAAGGGTTGGGAGAATTACACCGACCTTGCAATCCCAAAGTAACCATCAGAGTTTTCATACTATAACATTTAATATGGTATGATGTGTTCCATCAGAAAATTTGACGAGCTTTCAATAAACATTACAAGTCTTTTGTACATAAAAATCAGGTTTTTTATTTAAATATTTTTACTAAAGATTTGTCCATGAGTGCAAAGTGATTTTCGTGTTAAGATTAAAAATACTTTTTTTCATCTGAAAATTTTCAAGTTTCATTTGTGTAACCTTTAAGATTTCGTAAATAAATATCAAAGTTTTTTTTCCAGTTAAACTTTTTCTTCCGATATGGTACTTGCTTCCTCTCACAAGATTAACTATTCTCTTTCAGTGCTACCCTCTATGTTCAAACCTTTTCTTTACGCATGTCACAAGCCTTCCAACCCCCCCCCCCTTATTGGAATTGCTATATTCAAACATGTCTTTCATGCAAATCATCATGTGTCACCTCCTAACCAATAGGAGCATGATATGCTCACGTAATGCATTTGACTTCTTGTTTGGCAGCATTTGCGTTCAGATGTACTCTTTTATGTGCTTAAAGCTTCATTTTTTTCCTCGCAAAGTGATTATTTTTCAACCTAATTTGCTTACATTCAACCCAATTCATATATATTAGTATTTATCAGTTGATTCTAGTCACTCTATTTCTGCACTTGAATTTGGTGAACCTTTTCTGTGCAGTGAATTCTGAAGTTAACGTTACCACTTCGGAAGTTACACCAGCAACCAGCAATTTTTCTCAGACTTCAGGTGCGTTCAAACCGATGGTGGATTTATCTGCTGTTATACGTTGAGAGAGTGAACATTACATGGGCCAACTTTGTCCTCAAACATCACCCAGGCTCTTACTGAGCTGACTGACGAGGACTTTGATTGTCTTTTTTCTGCCTCCTGAGTTTGCTGTTACTTCCCATTCCCAACCTGAGGAATTTTCTAGTGCTAATTTGGTCTTTCTGGATTTTGAGTCTCAGATTTGTGATGTTTTTATCTCTTTCAACTATTTCATATTCACCTCGTACTTCCTTATTGCGCAAACAATCTTCCCAACCCTTTTTGGTTTGTCCTCCATCCCGTGATAATTGGGGTCACGCTGATCAACTTGCCTCGCAATTGAGTGAGGGGAATAGCATGCCATGCCCTCTGAGGACTTCTAATCAGTTCGCCCTTTCTTACCATTGGGCAGACTAACCATTTTTAGATCAGCAGTTGTTAGGTTCTTTGTTACCTATTTGGGGGGTGGCTCCAAATTCAAATGTCAGTCTTACCCATGCCCAATATTCTTGCCTGTGTCTTACCCTTACCAACCTCTTACAGTATCTTTCTTCTGTACACCTCCTATCTGAGGATCTCCAGAGAAAATCTGATGGGTTTTCTGCATATACCCTTAACCTTCTCTCCTCCTATTTAGCCTGCACATCATCTTTGGCTCTGGTGTTACATACGTGGTTTTTTGTTGTTGGGATCTTATAGGTCATGATGCTGCATTGGCTCGGGTCCGTTTACCCTCAACATATCTCAGGAATTTACGTCGTTCCATTTCTGAGATGTTACGTCTTTGATAATGTCCTGGAAACTATTGAGCTTCAGGTTACATCATTCCACTAACAAATATTGTAGCCAGTTCATCTCAGTTAGAAGGGTTGTATGCTTCCAATTCCCATTTCCTGTCCTTCCCAGCACTTAACTGTTACTTCTATTCGGGGTACTTCTTGTCGCCTTCCTTGACCCCCCCATCGCCAACAGTACAGATGAATATTCAATGGGTTCAGATCCAGTGGGGGCTCGGTTGTTTGAGTTTCTACATCACTGGCATCTCTTCATCGATGAACAATGGGTACTTCAGGTTCTGTCAGAAGGATTTGTTGTCCAGTTTCTTTCTCCATTTCCTTCCCCCCTCTTTGAGATCCCGTGATCAGCGAGCATCTGTCAGAAGCAATTTGGGAATTTCTCTTGCAGCAGGCAAACGAACCTGTTCCCCATTCTTCCAGGAGTTTGTATTCCCACCTTTTCTTTGTCCCCAAGATAACTCCAGATAACTGGGGATTGGAGTCCAGTAACTGATTTATCTTGCCTCATCCAGTTCATATCACTATCCAATTTCACCATGGAGTCTTTTCTCCCCTGAGATGAGCATTTTCTCCAAGGTTGTAGATAACAAATATGATTTCTCCAGCGCTTACCTACATATACTGATATCACCTCAGTCTTGTTCTTATATCCGGTTTGTCCATTTTGGGGGGGGGTACCAATTTCAGGCCCTTCCTTTCGGACTTGCCTTGCCACCTTAAATGGTTTGTAGGCTTTTGCATGTCATCTCCATGCTCTGCGGCTGTGATTTCATTATTAAATGGACGAATGGCTTCTTCTGGCTCATTCTGAACAGGAATTGGCCAATCATACTCAACAGCTATTTTCTGTGGCAGCTTGGGTGGGCTGGTTGATCAAACTGGAGAAATCCTTTTTCCGACCCACTCAATATCTTGTCCATTTGGGGGTGTTTTTTGAAACGAATATCAGTCAAGTGCTGCCTTCTCCTTTATCACTTCATTCAGTAGAACTTTTGGTTCACCACGCCCATCTTGGCTCAGGTACTTAATGTTTGCAAGGTTCTACCGATTTTGGGGATGAGGTCTTCCATGACAGCACTGATCCCTCTCGGTTGTGCTCATATGAGATCCCTTCAGTGGTCATTTCACGATTGATGGAACCTTGCTCAGGATCCTCTTTTCCACTCCCCATTTCCCTTTCTCCTTCCCTGCAAGACGATCTGCCCTGGTGGCTGGACAAAGCCCATATGTTGGCAAGCATGCTGCTTCTTCCCCTTTTTATGGATGGGGAGAGGCATGGGTCAATCGCCAGGAAGCTTCAGGCCATTGGTATGCAGATGAAAGCAATTTCTATATCAATGTTCTCAAACTTTTAATCATACATCAGGCATTACATCACTTCCTTCTTCTCGCCCGACATTCAGACAATTCTACAGTGGTATCACATATCAACCACCAAGGGGACCCCTGGTCCAGAGATCTGTGTTTTTGGACATTGGATCTATTATACTGGCCCACGCATATCACATTTGCCTTATTGCATGTCATGTGGCAGATGCTTTCAATCTCGTCATGGATTGTCTTTCGTACCCTGACTGGATATATCCCATGGAGTGGGCATTAGATCCCATTGTTTTCAAGGATCTCTGCCATTGGTGAGGTTCTCCCCACATGGATGCCTTTGCTATGGGCTTCAACACCAAGTTACCTCTCTTTTGGTCACCTGTACCTCATCCACAGGCTCTGGCAGTTGATGCCTTCAGCCAGGTTTGGTCACACAAGTATCTTTATGTGTACCCATCCATCCAATTACTTCATTGGGTGATTTCTCTTATCCACTCCTTGTTGAGTCCTATTGGTTGCTCCCTATTGGCCAGCTCAGCCTTGGTTTCCAAGATTATGATGACTGCTCCTCTCTCTCCATGTCCCTCTTCCAGTTTCTCCCTACCTTCTTCATCAACCTCGATCATATGTCCTACATCTCATCCTTCACACCCTGCATCATCACATTTGGCTTTTGCCTGGTCCTTGGCAAAACAGTCCGGTTTCACACATCGAGTCGCTTCCTTGTTAGCTAGTTCCATCTGTCCATCTTTCATGGAGGAGTACCGACACAAGTGGAAGGTATTCCGCAGTTGGTCTACTACCAGGGGGTTTCCTGCTGACAAGCCTAGCTCCTTCGAACATAGGTCTTCAATTTTCTCGCTTTCCGATTATCAGGTGGCCTCATCCTATACCTTTTCTTCTTTTTGATACTGTATGGTTTTTACTTCCCCTATTCATACCATTCTCATGCATTTCTTCCAGATACGTCACTCTCCCAGGCATCCTACCCTTCTGGATTGGGACCTTACCTACATTCCCTTACTTTACCTCCATTTTAACCACTTTCCTCATGTTCCCTGTTTCATCTATCCCATAAAACATATTTCCTTTTCTTTTTTACATGTGGATGTCAAAGGTTGGATTTGTTTGCCATTGACATGTCACCCTTTATCACCCTCCCTATCTTCTCCTTTATCTGGATTGTTCCTTTCTCCCAAAGACATCAGCAGCTCGAGAGTGTGGTTCCTCCTTTTCTCCTATTTCCCTTCCTTCTGTTTACCAAAGACTGGATCTGGATAGGCCATACTGCTACCTTCTGAGGTACACCTTAACGACTTTTTATCCCTTTCATGATCTTTTATCCTTATCAATTGGGTGTGCCTTTTGGTTCGATTGGCCTACCGGACTTTATTCCTGGTGTCTTCCCATCAGATATGACACCCCACTTTTTCCTGTACTTTTCATCTTCATCATCCAATGGAGGAGATTCTGCAATCCGGCATATGTACCATTCCCAGTAGTTCATCTCCCACTATCTCCACCATATCGTGGTTTTCCTCTTTGTCGGGGTTTCGTCTACCACCTGTGGCCATTCTTCAGACTTTGGTGCGACTCTTAACTGGTAAGTTTTTCGTCATATTTTCTTTCATTTAGGGGCCTTTATCTACTTTTATATCACATGGATCTCACTTTGTGGCGAGTGGTGCCTGACCAACTATTCTTTAACTCTGCACTGTACAGCCCTGTTGACTCGTGCTTTATCTTCTATGGCTTTGCATGCTCACTGTAGAGATGGTGTGTTTCACAAGATCACTTGACTGTGAATGACCTCTTAATATTTTGCTTCATAAACATGCCAGTTCCAGACCATACCACCCATGGACTGCATGGGTAAAGCAGTCTAGAGTGAATAACTCAGTTTGGTCTGCTTTTCAAAATAAGGTTTCATGGTCACCCATTGCACTGTCTCCGGTGGTGACATTCCTCCAGACTCTCCATCACATTGTCCCCTTCCTTTCTTTGGGTAGAGTATGAGAGTTCTTGCCACTGTCAAGCTCCAAGCTGCTGGGATGGTTGACTATGGAGGCACCTTGCTGAATGAGTTCCACACAATAACCATTCAGTTACAGAGTAGGCAGCGGTGTTCTGCAGGCGTACATGACGTAATATCCTTCTATTTGCGATAACCAATACTACAGAGTGAGATGTCAGAATGCAGTTCACCCCTTTGATTGGGAGCCTTCATTTTACCCTCTTGTGAATGTCCGTACTCTGCAAGGAGGTTTTGGATTAGAGTGAACCAATCAGCATAAGTCTTCACACGGGTTCGGGTTATATATCTTCTTCTCTCAATTTCCTCTGTCTATTGTGGGTCACAGCAGTGGTACTTGGGATTGGTACAGTTCTGTCCTTGACTATCCCAACTTTTCTTCTTACAGAGATGTTATTGCCATTGGATGGTCCCAGCTTGTACTGAGTTGGGGGAGCTGATTCCATATAATAGACATCCTTTTTATACCAGTTGTCAATTTCACAGATTAATAGCTTTGAGCTAATCCTTGTGTCATACCTGGAAGCCAGTGTGGGTCTTAATCCCTGATTCATGGGTTTGAGGTGAAGACGGTATAATCCTCATTCTACTGTTGGGCGGTTGTCGGTACCCCGCAAGAACAGCTCTGAAAATCAGAAGAGAAGAACCGCATCACTTCTGAGCCAGGTATACTCTTTGCCCATGTGAGGAATGTGTAAGATATAAAATGGAAAATGTGAGGAGCACATCTGAGTGGGAGAGAATGTGGTAGGAAAGTGATCCTAACCAGAGAAAGATACTGTAACTCAATCCCACAAGAGAAAAGTTGGTAAATGAGGATGCGCCCCTGGGTGTAGAGTGGTTAGGGCATGGTAAAACATACTTGGTAAGTCAACTACATCCAAAACCGGTATCTCTCATTTTCAGGGGTATCCTTCAGATGCTTTTGGGGGTAGTTCTGTTATTACCTCGCACCGGTCCCTCCTCCATCTCAATGTGGGATTCTAACTAATCTAGTGACAGGAGGTAACTACTGTATCAGAAGTTATAATTTTCCTATACTGAAAATGTATTTCCAATAGGTACTTACCTCCCTAGAATGATTTCAAATTTTAACAGGAAGCTACACTTGTTTAAGGCTCATAACATTATACATCTGTTTATACTTAATTTTATTGTTTTAATGCCATTTGAGCTGTGTATAACTGATAAACATGCCATACAAGTTGTAAATCACTTGGCAAACACGTAACTCATGTTACTATATTGAAGGATGTAATGCATGAGCTGCTTGCGAGCATACCCGTGAAGAATTATTATCATTTGTTATATTACTTAATCTAACTTTATCTAACCTAATAACTTAGGGCTTACCTTTAGCTTCTTGTATTTTTTTTTCTGACAGTTGCTGATGAAATTTATGCCTACCGTTTTTTTACTGTTGGAACTTGTAGACTAAACTAGTTTTTATTTGCTTAAATAATGCACCTATGAAAGTAGAATAATAACACACACAAAGCACAACATGTCCTATAACTGTTATAATTTAACTGGCTTTCTAACTATCCCATAAGAGCCTTAAATTAATTCCATAAGAATCTCGATGTGACCACCAAGAGACAAGCTTTCAAACTGAAAATGAAATATATAATTCACTGTATTGAAAACAATGTAATATAACACGTCATTTGATAGCTTAAAACTTTGTCTTTCTATTGGTTATAAATGATATAATATAAAACATCAGAGAGAATTATTGGCAATTTATGAAAGAGAAGATGTGACAGGTGGGCATGGTAAATGGGTTTGACTTTCTAGTTTATATATGTAAACACAGAAGATTGAAGGCTATAAAATCAAACTTTGCCATCCTAATATCTATATTATAATGAGTAATTTGCATTAAATTCTGTACTTCAGAGAGGGGTGGTAAATAAATTAGAGAAGAGGGAAGACCTAGAGAACAAATGTCACAATTCTGATACTAGGGGAGATTGAGGATTTTTTAAGATATTTCCCAGTAAAATTAAGAACTTGAAACTTGTATAATATTAAATTTGTTTTATTAACTATGTTTTGATGCCAAGTTTATTCTTATACATTCATAACAAAGTAGTTTAATTAAATGTAACTCTGTAAAAGATTGTGACATGCACACTTTAACCTACTCATAGCGAGACATTTATTGATGTAAGAAAATAAAAGTTTACATAACTTTTGTGATGATAAGTGATGTATTGTTTTAGAAGATGCTTAACATCCTCTTTAATTACAGTTAGTGAAGTTGCATCTTGCATTAATAAACAAATAAGATATCACAAAAAATTAGCATAATAAAATGATTCTTATGTATAAGTAAAATAATAAAATAACATTTCAAATTCTGTCAACTGTAACAACTTTTAGTCTTAGTGTAGTATTTTCTTGTAAGAGAAGTAACAACAAATTTAAAGTTTTCAAAAATTTTAATTGATGTGTTTCACATTGGTGAGTATTTCAAACCAAAACTTTAGAATCAAAATTTGTGTCTATTACCAATAGTTGTTATATTATATACCCTAACTTGTGATTTTTCTTCTTGTTTGAAGTAGTCAAAATTATAATTTCCCCATTTGAAGTAATTCTAGTGATCTTATTTTATAATTTAGTATGTATTTTTTTGGACTTTTCATCTCTTGATTTTGTGTTGAGATAATATTTCAGCTTACATGTCAAATATATTGCCAAAATTCACTTGTAATTGTATGTATGTAATTGTACCATTTAGATCTACTGACTTCAATTAATTTTTTGGCTGATGCCTAAAATACAATAGTGCCGCAACTAGAAAAGTAAACATTTGTTATAGAACCAAATGAATGTCAATGGAAAATGCACGAAATCTTATTATTAGTGTATGATCTGGTAAGGTTGTAAAAACAAAGTACTTTCCTGATTAGTATGTGATTTCTTTTAAGGGGGTGGGTGTGAATAGGACATTTGTATTTGACATTATAAAGAATTGTTAATAAATATTTTCATTTAATAAATACACTTGTAAGCATGTTTTTTCTAGTAACATGTTTGAAGTATTAAGTTATTTTTGCAACACCTAGGTGGGCAGAACGAGAGCATAAAATGATGCACCATTTCTTCAATGACCTCAAGGCTTATACTGTAGCAGTGAAGGCTGGAACCTCACCAAGCAATAACTTGTAAGTGAAATAAAGAAAATTATGCTTTAAATTTTCCTATGTTAAGCAAAAGATTCAAAACCTTTCTTATGAAATAGAAACTAGTTGTGGTACATTTTATATTAGTCTGTCATTTTAATATGAGAAAATGTGCTTCTGTAAGGTACTTCTCTGTCAAGCAAAAGATCCAAAACTTTTTCTACAAACTAGAAACTAGTTGTGTTAAATGCTACATGGTTCAGCAGGCTTGTGCATTGGATGTAATGATGTTTTGACTCTACTACTCACTCTCTGCAGTTCTTATTAAGTCAGAATACACCTGTCATTTTGCTATTTAAAGTACAGTTAAGTTTCACAAAAAGTTAGATTTTTTTCTTTGTAGGTATCCTCACACTGAAGAAATTCAGGTACGCCTTCATTTCCTGACGTGTGTTTTCTCTGCTGCTGGCTCTCCTGAACATTTTAGTAAGTTAGAGTTCGTAACATCTGTGTATTACATGTTACTGTCAAGCTTTATTAATGCATATATGAATTTGATAAATTTTTATCCAATGTTAAGTTACTTACATTGATAAACAGCTTCAATGACCATGAACATTGAATATAAATGAAGAACAAAAAGCAATTTCCATAAACTGTCATTACGATAAGCAACAGATTCGTTTTCAGATAATTTCATTATAAATTAGAACTTTTGTATAAAATATTGCTAAGCTAATTAAACATCTGTTGAACAATATATTATTATTTAAACATGTGAGTCATTTAAGCAAGGTTTTATCACTAGAAACTGAACCTGATAGATTGAGCGTTTTGTAAAGCTAACTGTAAATGTTTGTATAAAAAACTTTGATTGTACTTTTATTTGGCAATTGTTCATGATGACTTTTGTTTAGAAATGTGTGTTAATCTTGCTGAAACAAAAAATGAAGAAATATTATTTTTTGTTATTTGTATGATTTCATGGTGATATTAAAATTCGACAGGGATCCTGGGTGTGAATAAAACATGTATTCGTGTATAGTCTGTTGTGAAATTTTTCATCCTTATGATTACGTGAAAAATAAATATTTCAGGATTAAATCTTGAACAAGTGGACATCCTGTGGTCATGCTTAGCTACTGACAAAGATTGTGCAGATGAGCTCTTTAGTTGGATATTAAACCAGGCTAAAAATAAAGACCATACTCATGCCTTATGTCTTGAACTCTTCAAACACATTTTATTAGAAAAGGTATAGATATATTTATTGTATAACATTTTTTTCTGATTTAAACCTTTTTAATGATGAAGGCTTTTTTGTGCGACAATTTTTCGTAATTTAACTATGTAGAGAAAAGCAATCTGAAACAAAAACATAAAATCATTTATTGAGAAGCTATAATGATGTATTAATAAGAAAGTCATTTTGAATCAAGGAACATTTATGTTCCTTGATTCATGATGACTTTGTATCGCGATATTTCATTATGATTCCTATTTTAAATTATTTATGTTCCTTGATTCATGATGACTTTGTATCGAGATATTTCATTATGATTCCTATTTTAAATTATTTATTTATGTTCCTTGATTCATGATGACTTTGTATCGCGATATTTCATTATGATTCCTATTTTAAATTATTTATGTTCCTTGATTCATGATGACTTTGTATCGAGATATTTCATTATGATTCCTATTTTAAATTATTTAATAACACACAGGCTAGAGAAGCATAAAAGCTCATGACAAATAATTTTAAATTATTTATGTTCCTTGATTCATGATGACTTTGTATCGCGATATTTCATTATGATTCCTTTTTTAAATTATTTAATGTTTATATATTAAAACAGACATCAGTTTGTCATATTTGTTTTAATTGTAACATTATATAACTAACCTTTGCCAATGTTACATTAAGTTTTAATAGTACGTAATTCTGAGATATTTTTTATTTTTGCAGATATATTTAAGTAGTGGTATTGATTTCATACTTTGTGTTATATATTAGAGCTTTCTTGTATTTAAAAATATGAAAACTATACATAATAATAATGGTAATTTGTTTATGTAGAGTATATTTCTATAGGGTTTGTTCTTTGCTCCTTTTATGTATGGGATCAAAGGTTTAGCAGATTTGTTCTAAATCTGAAATTCTCCAGTACTATTGGGCTATATTTGTCCCAGTGTATGTTTGTGCAGACTATGAGACTCATCTATCCTATAAAATATTTTGAACATGGTGATTCAGTCCTTTTGGTATATACTAGGTCTTTTATACATACTTATGCCTTTTATATTTTAAGAATATAAAAGTTGCACTCAAAAGATTGAAAGAGAGAGAGAGAGAAGGTTTTGAACAGAACAGTGTATTTAATTGTAACAGTATTGACTCTTGTGAACAATGAATAAATTATTTCTGAAGGTTTAGGTTGCTTCTGATTTTTATGTACAAATATATATATTAAATTTTGGTTTAGATGCCTCAGCTTCCTCCCGAATCTACCACGATGACATCATTAAATTTACTGTACCAGTTAAGTAATGTAGCCCGCTTGTCTACAGCATCCTATAACACCTCGGTTTCTGAAGCTGATGTAAGTAGCTGCTGTTTCCATGGAGACTGTATTACTTGTAAAGAAAATATCCATGTTACCAATCTTCTTTTTGAAATTTAACATCCAAATTTTATGATATAAATTGACTTAAAAGAAAAATAGTGGTAAGAAATAGTGTTGTATAAAAATATACTATTTTCTAAAGTATTATTTATCTAGAAGTGCAAGAAAATAGTAACCTCCAATCAGTTCAAATTATCATGAAAAAATTCCTAGTTAAAATTACAATATGTAATGAAGTAGGAAGAAGAAAGTTTATTAAAATGTAAGTAAAAAAATTTAAGTGCAGAGTTAAATAAGATTCCATTTCTGAAATTTGTGTTTGTATTTTTTTTTACTTTTTCTTTTTTTAAGAATGAGTGAAGTTTTTTCATGTTACACTTCTTCCTTATTTATCTACAAACCTGCATATGTGCACAAACAGTAATATTTACCTGTGCCACTTATTGGTACACTTTAACATAACCTTGATCAGTCACTGTAATTTACCTTGTAGTACACGTCTAATTCATTATAGTTGTTGCTAGATTAGATCAGTTATTGTTTCATAAAAAAAATGTAACATTTTATTGGCTACTATAAAATTAATAGTGTCCTTGTTTGAAGATCTCTGTAAAATAAATATGTTTTGAAATTTTGTTATCCTTTATAAGAAAATTACAAACAAAAATGATATTGATTACTATGACTATGAGATGTTTGATATATCGGTGTGTCACTCTCACATGTTTGAGTTGGTGGTGGGAATATTGATAAGAATGAGGTCATCTTTTTTGTACAACTTTCATGGTAATTTATATATTATGATTTGAGTTACAATCTTTGGAATGTATAGAAATGGTACAGTATAATTTTTAATTCACACATATGCCCTCGAGAGACATTGCTTCTGAAAGCTCTGAAGTTCTAAAAAACATTTGTCATCCACCAGGTATGTGGTATAGAACAGCTCTGGGGCATTGCTCTACGTGCTTTGAACACTGATGTTAGCATGGCAGCTATTCAGTACTTGAACAACTACTACATTAATGGTAAGATCTAAAAGATATATCTGAAAAGTTCAAATTGTATATAGTTTCACCATGATTACACCAGGATATAATTTGTACATTAACTTTGTGATTGTAATATGATTGAACTTCCAATTGTAGATTTTCAAAAAGAAAAAATATCTTACAAATTTTTAATGTTTTGCACTTTATGTATGAGCAAAAGACTTGTTCTGTCATTCAGTATTCTTATAATCAATCAAAAAAAATTTGATTTTCTTTTTGTAATATTGGTCAATACATATAAAATCTGTGTCTGCAATAATCCATCTTAAAGATTTAAAACCTTTTTTACCTGTACTAGTTTCACCTTTTATACCCTGCACAGTATATCACAGTACTAGTTCACCTTGATATGCTGTCAACATAGTACTAATCCACCGAGATATGCCGTCAATACAGTATATTACAGTACTAGTCTTATCTTGATATGCCGCCAATACAGTATATTACAGTACTAGTCTTATCTTGATATGCCGCCAATACAGTATATTACAGTACTAGTCTTACCTTGATATGCCATCAATACAGTATATTACAGTACTAGTCTTACCTTGATATGCCATCAATACAGTATATTACAGTACTAGTCTTACCTTGATATGTCGTCAATACAGTATATTACAGTACTAGTCTTACCTTGATATGCCATCAATACAGTATATTACAGTACTAGTCTTACCTTGATATGCCATCAATACAGTATATTACAGTACTAGTCTTACCTTGATATGCCATCAATACAGTATATTACAGTACTAGTCTTACCTTGATATGCCATCAATACAGTATATTACAGTACTAGTCTTACCTTGATATGCCATCAATACAGTATATTACAGTACTAGTCTTACTTTCATATGCTTTCAACATAGTGCATCACAGTACTAGTCCACCTTGATATGCTGTCAGCACGGTACTAGGCCCACCTTGATATGCTATTAATAACGTGTTACAGTACTAGGCTTACCTTGATATGCTGTCAACACAATATATTACAGCACTAGTCCACCTTGATATGCTGTCAACATGGTATGTCACACTACTAGTCCAACTTTTATATGCTGTCAGCACAGCACTAGTCCAACCTTAGTATGCTGTCAACATAAAAGTTAAACAGTACCTTGTCAGTATTACTCACAAAACTTTGTTATTCATTTAACAATCATAGCTAAGATATTCTGTACATCTTTTTTTTTTTATACTGTTTAATAAACAAAATGTACTAACATTTTGAAGTCTATTGACAAGTCTTTAATAATATAGTTTTTAGTTAATAAGTATGTGGACCTCAATAGACAAAGTTTATATTCCTTTCTTTATCTACTGACCTAATCTCACTGTTGAACATTCTCATGCTTAAATGGCATGTGTCTTAAAATTATTTTTTAATTCTTCCTTTGTGTATGATTTAAATTGTTATGAAGGTAACCAAAAGCTGACATCTATGTTTTATTCTTTTTTTTGTGTACAAGGGAAAAAAAAAAGATCTTGAATCAGATCATACTGATATTATAATGACTGAGCAATGTGAAAATAAAATATTGAGTACCAAAATAAAGGGCTAATAAGTTAAGCAAACATGTCAATGCTCGTAAATAACTTTGAGAAGGCTAGTAATTTAGACAAGTTGTTCGTACTTGTGTCAAATTATAGGTTCAGAAGTAAGTTAAAAAAAAAAGATTTAGTAAAGTTGTTTCACCAGTTGAGTACCCCAAAAAATAAGAAAAGACAATGACCAATTACTGACTACATGCCTTTTATTATTTCTCTTGTTGTAGTTAGTTGTTTCGTGGTTGTTAAGTAAGGTATTGCACAAAAGTGAAGAATGACAAACAGTACATGTTAGACTTTTGTTGGTTATATATACAGTAAATTTTGTGATTTATTTACTTGTTTATTAAAGTGGGGTGGAGGAATGATATAGTTTTCTTTCCTTACAAATGTATAGTTCATCATGGAACCCTGGAAAGAGAAGAAGAATTTATTCAAACATGTATGGACAGCCTTAGTAAAGCCATCCAAAGCTTATGTGAAGTAAGTAACTTTGTCCTAAACATGAATTCTGTGGAGTACTATACTTGTTATCAGGTTTAAGCCATCCAAAGCTTATGTGAAGTAAGTAACTTTGTCCTAAACATGAATTCTGTGGAGTACTATACTTGTTATCAGGTTTAAGCCATCCAAAGCATATGTGAGGTAAGTATCTTTGTCCTAAACATGAA